CTTTTAATAACATGTTTACTTATCTCATACATATGCTATATTGGTAGTCTGCTTATAAAACGAACAATACCTTGTTTTAAGACGGTGTCGACATACAAACGACACAGATGTTCACATAAAGGCATACAACGGATAGACATTATAAGTAGTTGCATGCCTACAGAAAAGCAAACTCTTTGACACTCGACAGGACTCCAAAAAACTTTAGCGTCAGTATGCATTTGTGAGTACAGTCATGAATGTGGATCAAAAGCTCTCTATTCCCTCGTTTATAGGTTAATTCTAAGCATTTTTATGCACACAAACACACTGACCTGCGGACTGCTCCAGGCATACACACAAATACACATCCATATTTATTCAGGGGCCTCTATCTTGTTCACACAAATGCGAACAGCAGGTATGACGCAAATTTTGTTGTTGTGATTTCCGACATGACATTTGCTTCGGGGTTTTGGAGGTTTTATAAGGAAAGTTTATATCCTTTGTGTGCGTTAAGTGTTCCAGTTTCCATCAATCTGGCCGATTAACCCTATACTTATGGAATGGCACCCACCTTTCTTCTCTCAGATGTTTCTAAAAATAGCCGAGGCCTATGGTATTGCCTGACAAGTATTTTGCTACTTTTTACTACCCTTTCTCCTCAACCGCCCTCAGGTTGTATCGGTCATCTTACAATGTTTCCATTTGCTCCATTCCCTTGAGTGGTCAGATTTACTGTTTCACTACCCTTATCATTGGGCAACTCCAGATTCATGCATTTGAGGGCTCCTCAAGACCTGCTTTCCACTGGTCACCAATTTTCTTAGGTACCCGGTTGTAGGTTCAGAAGCTCTTACCGATGCTTGAATCTCTTGTAGGGCGTAAACGGAAGTCGTACCCTCTCCGGAACCTCCTGCATATTGTCGCGCCTGTTTCGCAGCGTGACATTCCGCCATTAATGTTTCTCTGTATCAATCTGCTATTATCAAATGCTTTCAAGTGAGAGACAGGTTAAAGTTTATGGCTGCCAAGTCTATTTTGCTTGTATCCAATGTAGGCCGTGGAAGGGGGCATTATAAGCTGATTTCAGTATAATGACGCACTCGATCGTCCTGCTTTGGCTGTCTCCTGCATTGCACGTAATTTATGGGCAATTACCTGCATGCAACACAGCTCTCCCCTTCCGTATAGCATGGGGCGAAAATCGCCTTGTATGACTATGTCTTTTGGAGGAATGTCCAAATGGAAACGTGGCACCGGAAGGATAAGAGAGACCGACCCGCAACTATTTCATTTTTGCAAGTTTAAGGGATTGGTATTTGTAAGAGTGTTCTTAAATTTAAGGTTTTTGGAAATCGTATATTGCTGAAGGCTGAGAGCTTAATGATCTGGTTTTTTAGGCTGAATTTCTTTGTGCTATAGACAGTTTGAGAACAATGCCTGGAAGCCTAGACGAAGAAACAAATGCATTTAATCGGGTGATTAGTGCGGAAACCTCAAGACATCTTCTCTCAATGAGGCAGAATTTCTTAGCATATCTGAAACCCCAACAGACCCTTATTGCAACGACTTCCTCGTAAGCTCTAGTATCATCAACGAAGAGCTGACATAGGAAATAATAGTAAAGTTTGCTATTGCTGCACAGGCTTCCGGCAGATGGTCTCGAACAGTCTGACTGTACTCGGACGTTAGTCGGCTCTTTCTTTCCGATACTTGGAAACTTGGATTGGGAGTTTGATTTTTGCAGTGGATTTCAGTTCTCTATGCTTCACAAAAAGCTGTCCTCACATATGCTATGGTACAATTTCGGGATGGACTGCAGTTTCGACCTCGCCTCGGTTTTACCAGTAGCCTCAGCGGAACTCGAACCTGAGTAGTGTAGCGTATAACGTTGACCAGTTCACTTTAACGTGTCGAGATTATACGCTACATTGTCATTGTTTGAGTTCCACCGAGGGTGCTGATGAGACCAGTTCAGGCAAGATCGAACTTGCAGTTCGGCCTGGATAGGAATACTTTCTGGGAAAGCAAGACTATGGAAACTTGAGCAGAAACGTGAGTTCTACTCATAGGATTGTGGTAAAATTCAGCCATCAGTTCCCTTATCACCTTAAACACGCTAGTGGGGATACATATAATATATATGATATTAAATTCTACCAGCAACTCCAATAGCGAGCTCCAAAGTGTCGATTATTTTCAGTTTTGTTGAAACTAAAATTTCAGCTACCATGTTGATCAGACTGCTTAAAAATTTGTGTTTAAACGAAGGGATGTAAAGTTAGGTAGCCAATCAAATGGACGATTGATATTTCCAACACTTCATCAGAATTAATTATAAACATAGTAACTTATAGATATTTTTCTCAAGAACTACTAATGACACCAATACTTACTCATTGTTACTATAACATTATTGCCGTGATATCTGCTTTTGATTCGCCTACTTCGTTTCATTCAAAGGGGCGAGTTGAAAAATCCGTAAATCAGCCTCATTGCAAGTCAAATAACAAATTTCATTGAGCCAAGAGGATACGTCTTCAGTGAGTCTTACCAAAATAAGTAGAACCATGACGTTTGTGGGTTGGCACATAAGAGACTAGGACATAGGAAGTGATAGTCATAGTATTACAGATAGAAATAGGGTAAAAAAACACGGTTGAGACTAAAGCTGGCTAACAATAGACGTTTTTTGATTTTAAACGTGATCTTTGAATCACCACTATTGTAAACCAACCATCTCTAGCTTTCACTGTTTCCATCCTTTTTCTATCTATAATACCAAAGCCTATTACTTCCTATGCCCTAGATTTTGTGTGCCGAACCCCAAACGTTGTGGTTCAACATTGAACCTAACCAATGCGAGTACCACAACATTTGGGGGTTGGCACACAAGAGACTAGGGCATGGGAAGTCATAGACTTGGTATTAGGG